GTGCTTGTAGACCAGGCTGTTTTCGAACTCACAGAGACCCTCCTGCCTCTTCCTCCCAAGTGCTGGGTTTAAAAGCGATAACAATTTATTATCATTTAACATTCCATCCTACATTTCTAGGGAGCCTCATAACCTTTTCATATTTAATGCAGGACAAGATCAACAAAAATTTATTTGACTTTAAGTGGAGAGCATTGGGTGGTGCAACTGAAGGCAGAGACCACAGAGGGTAGGACTAGAAAAAAGCTAGGATTGCAGCTAATGAAAATTCTGTGGTGTTCAGTTGGAGTCTCCAGCTTGCCCCTACAGACTGGGAAGCCCCATTCCTCTCTCTCTCTCTCTCTCTCTCTCTCTCTCTCTCTCTCTCTCTCTCTCTCTCTCTCTCTCTCTCTCTCTCTTTGTGTGTGTGTGTGTGTGTGTGTGTGTCTCCCTCCCTCCCTCCCTTTTCTCTCCCTCTTTCCAAATCCTGCCTGCTCAGAGAATCTCCAAACAAGGAAAAGCGCCAAAGGCCCAGTTCCACATTCTTGACAGCTATTACAATTTCCTCCCCTGATGCTGCCAGATGCCCAAGTCCTTACCTAAGTGCTCAGTTTTTGTTGTTGTTGTTTGTTTGTTTGTTTTGTTTTGTTTTGGGGGGGAGGGTTCAAGACAGGGTTTCTCTGTGACTTTGGAGGCTGTCCTGGAACTAGCTCTTGTAGACCAAGCTGGCTTCAAACTCACAGAGATCCGCCTGCCTCTGCCTCCTGAGTGCTGGGATTAAAGGCGTGTACCACCACCGCCCAGCAAGTGCTCAGTTTTTGTTTTGTTTTTTAACCATCCTGGGGCACAAGCCCCAGCTCGTGGCAGACATGCCACCACTCCTCGCTTACAATCTATAAAACTTTTCTGCCCCAGCCTGAGCCCACAATTTCTCTGGCCTCAATCTCTGGGACCAGTGAACTTGCCCGGGAGTTGCTTTGCTCAATAAACCTGCTGTTACACTTTTTCAATTCTGCTTGATCCTGCTTACTGTGTCAGTGGAGAAACTTGGGGGGACGGGCATAAGATATATTATTTGGATTGTAAACCTCATCTAAGTAGGTTATG